TAAAACCCTAAAGCCCACACCCTGAAATGTAGGGTGGGAGGTAGCGTTTCAGGGTTTGGGGTTTAGGGTTCGGTTCGAAGTTTTCGGAAGATGCGGAGCAGCTTTCTTGTGGGGTTCTCTTGACAAGGATCCCACGACTTCGAGGTCCATATCACGGGTCCTTCGTCGAGGTTTTGCGTATATTCGGTAGTTCGGAGTTTGCGGGGCCTAGACTGTGTTTGTAGATGGTCGAAGGTTTTGAGTGTTGTGTCGTGCGTAGGCTCGTATCAACAATTCCGTCGAGGTGCTTTCAGCGCGTGGCCTTCGCACGATCACCAGATACAAGGTGACAAGATGAGACTCCTGTATAGGCCCTTTAGGAACCTTGCAGGATCCCTCAATCAACGACCGAATCCATGCCAGAGCTGAGTTTACACATAAAGTTTACACGAAAAACTCCCACTGTCCTTGAGTCCAGGCCCGTCTGAGCAAAAGCTTCAATCCCGAAGCCTCGCCCCCAAAACCGGTGAGTGACTCCCGCAGACAACTTGATCCTGAGCTGAAGACAGTCATCACTTCCCTCACTTATTGGACACCCCCCTAAGTTTTAAGACACTTCGGGGCCAATCCTCCCGAATTCATCCCTGCCCTTAATAATTCCAATTTGCATCAGGGGGTCCGGAGCAAGAGCAAAAGCAAGAGCAGGAGTAAGAGCAAGAGCAAAGGCAAGAGTAAGAGCGAAAGCAAGAGGAAGAGCAGAAGCAATAGCAAGAGCAAAAGCAAGCGTAGGAGCGAGACTAAGAGATGCAGCAGGAGCAAAAGCCAGTTCTGAGCAAGAGCAAGATCCCTCAAAAGTGACAGTAAGGATAAAAATACACCAAAGAAATTAAATTCATGTTCTGAGATTCTATTGGGTGGAGGGGGGCGGGGCCCCTCCAGTTCAATAGTGGGGGAAGGGATTTTATATGTCGTTTTTGGTGTACTGCCAGAACCTGAGCTGCATTTAGTTCCTTAGCTTGGGTTGATCAGCCTGCAGTATCATAGGAACCGATCACACCTAGCCATAGGGCAGGGTATCCAAGCATGGAAGCATCACAGGGTCTAGGGCTAGGGTTTCGGGTTTTCGGGTCGCCTAGGCAAGGCACCAAAAGGCAGTCAGGAACCTCCCGTCGGCGAAACCCGGAGCCAAAGCTTATCGCAGAGGTTCAAGATGAAGGCATGGAATCCAGAGGAAGCCTTACAATAAGAATCGTAGAAGGATCCTTATTAAACGGAACTCTGAACGGAATCGTCAAAGTAACTTCGAAACGACCCCCCAAAAAGAGCCTGCTAAATAAAACAATCCTTCTATCCTTAAGCCCCTAAGGTACAGGCGCAGACAAAGTGCTGACGCCAGCGGTTGAGGCCTTCACGGAAGACCTCGTGTCCCAGGTGTGTCTTGGGTTATTTTAGTGAGGCTTCAGGTTTGGGATTTATCAGGGGTTTAGGGCGTACATGTTGCCTCTGGGTCTAGACTGCCTCAAAGGCTATACCCTGTAGCTATGGGGCCATGATCTACTCGTTTGTAGATTGTAGGGTTGCACATCCAACGCTCGGGGTCAACAACAGGCTCTCAACAGCGCTGTGCATCCGAAATCCAGAACGCGTTTATTACCCTAAACCCTACCATCTCAATGTTCTGATCCCATCTTACCTTAATCTTTAACGCTACGACCCCAAAACCCTGAACCCTTGTCCGAGTGTGAGCGCCGAAACCCTGTATTGCCTCACAGGGCCATGACGTGCCCCAGCTTCAAAGAGGGATGATTCACACCTTACTCTAATGGACACATAAACATCAGGATAAAAAGCCTGCGAGAGACTTCTGAGAACTCGCAGTATATACTTATATGCTTGTAGTAGATCATGCCCAAAGCCCTGTCATAATGCTTAGGGTGTCTATTGAACCCTAACGTGGAGGCCTAAATCATTGCCACTGCAATTTTGGGGGTTCCTGGTTGTATTTTTGTATAATAATGGGCCTACAGTTTAACAGGACCTTTGAACCCTTTCAAGGAACCCTAGGGCCCCCTTAAGTTACCGACAATGGGCCCCAAAGCTCTACTCTTATTCTTAAGGCCCCTACCTGCCCTATGGCCATCCGAGGAAGTCAGACCCACGGACGCGGATTCTCGAGCCGATGGTTCTCGGCTCCTTGGGATGCACTGTTAATCGAAGGGTTTAGGATTTTTAGGGTTTAATTTTTAGGGTTTAGGGTTTGGTTTTCATAAGGGGATTCAGATCTCTTAGGCTAAGGCCGTTGTGGCTCTCTTTCTCGTGGTTATCATTCGTGGTGTTCATGCTGAGTATGTCAGGGGTTTAGGCTTGTGTTTTCCTACTGTCTGCACCAGCCACGAGATTTGTCTTCCGTTTCCGTTTCGAGTATTCTCGAGTGCTCCAGCTTCCTTTTGTCTGTGTGATCCATGCCCCCGCTGGCTTTGCTGATCAAAACAGCAACAGTGACAGTATCAGTAATAGTAATAAGTAATAAGAATAGTATCAGTCACAGTTGTTCTCAGTCCATGTGTTCTTTCCTTTCTGGCAGGGAACATCTTTTTCCATATGGCATCTGCTTGCCTGCAAGTTTCAGGGGCTGAATGAAAGAGAGTGCTGCAACACCGCTCCTACTGGAAAGCTTTGCTCATGTTCTGTTTCGGCTTGGGTTTCGGGGGGTACGGCTTTCCAGCGCATCTGCTTCGGGAATCCCGACCAAGGGTTTTGCTATCCATGAACCAGAACAGGACAACGGCTTTCAGGCCAGTGGAGACTGGAGTGGAAGTGTAAACGGAAGTTTCCAGGCAGAGTGGAATGGAACGAGAATCTAGAACAGAAAGGGAGGGGCTGGGGGGGCATGGAACTAGAACGTGCATGTTCAGCTCCTGCAGAGTTCGGAAATACCTGTAAAGGTCTAGAGAACCTAGCTTTGAGATTAAGCACAACGACTCGTCGGCTGCATGCTTGGAGTTGCCCCAGGCTACTACACTGATGGGGATGTGGCAGGCGAGAGAAGACTGAAGAGCATCGGGCGCTGTGCGTGAGATCGGTTTGGAATTGTGGGGCCGCATCAAAGCACATGTTCGGGCTCTGGCTGTCGTGGTTGTAGGGTGAAGAATCCGTTTGCTTCGTTGCGGTTCGTGCAGGGTCTCTTCAGTGACTGTACAGCATGCTGCACAGGCCTCGACCCTACACCCCAGACCCTGACACGGAGATCCTCAGACACGTGTCAAAGTACCCAACCCACGGTCAGATGAATTCCTTGCCTATGGCAGAAGAAAGCAAGACGGATCCAACAACCTACGGCTTCAAGAGGTACATACCGCTTTGGAATGCAATCATGGGGGCCATAACCTTTGTGGGGTTTTGGGCCTGCAGGAACACATTACGTAGTCTAGGCAAGAAGCCACAAGCTTGCCACGACAGAAATCGTGAACCGAAAGAGCTCCACCCGAAACTTCCAATCCCCCCGTTGGGGTCTTCCGGGCTCTCTTGGCTTATTTTGGGCTCAATTTGGGAGTTTCGTTTCAGAGAGACAGGAGTGCACCTGCCAAAGAGCATCCGCAAGCAGCTCTTGGGCAGCAGCTGTCGCAGTGTAGAATGGGATATTCTTCTGCTCGCGTGTTGAAGGTTGGAAACTAACCCCACCCCAAGCCCTCCAACTCCATACCCTCCAGCTAGCGCTGTAGCCTCGATGTGCTAACTTATCCTACACCCGAAACCTTACAGTGCTTGGAAATGCTGGGTTTCACGGAGAGTCGTGTGAGCGCAGGTCAACCTCCGACTATCTCATGTCAGGGATGCCGGGTGATCCACCATGTTCCGTTGAGGGTTCAGAGCGTAAGATTTAGTAGTGGGGATCCAACACGTTCCAACCATCATCATCATCTACCTTAAACTACCAAACCCTACTTTTTGTAGGATCTTATTATGAACCCTAATATGAATTTATAGGGACCCTACAAAAAAAGTAGGTTTTGGTAGGGGTATGAGATCCGAAAGCCCGACAAAGGCTCAGATCAGAGGCCCGTTGGAATCTGAAGCTTGCGAGTGAAGCCTTGACCCCAAAGCCGAGGCAACAGTCGAGTAATATAGGGGCCGAAATATAATTACCCATACTATTTAGGGGTTCCTTGTTATACATACAGTTTAATGGGTAATATAGGGGGCTAAATATACTCACCTATACTATTTTGGAGGTTCCTTATTATAAACATAGTATAGAGGGCCTCAAAATCCTCTTCTAATTGTTAAGGCCCCTATTGCGGTCGCCTGACCCCCCCCCCCCCCCCCCCCCCCCAGGAAACTCGTCTCCAAAGATGAGCGAACTACGATTCTGGTGCTCCTGCCCACAAGGCTCCTCGGGATATTCCGAAGCGGTTTATCGGGGGGACCTAGTATGACCCGGTAAGTGGGCTCGATGCATCGTTCTGAGCAAGATAGCGATAGCCATACGGCCACATACAGTGCAACCTACTAGGCCCGCTCATCTGGGACTCATGCAACCTTGCGCCTGCGCATGTAGGATTTAAGCTTGGGCGGTGTAGGAAGTCTTGGGCCATTTCTGCCCATTCAGGACACCCTTGCGCGCCCAATCTCCTCAAGATCGAAAGCCTTCGCTCAAAACCCGAAACCCTCCAAAACCCTCAGCTCTAACCATCTCTAAACGTAGGAGGCAAAAAGACCATCTCTAACCCTGCAACCTCAGCACCTTCACCCGTACGCAGCTCTTGCACTTCGAGGAATCTCTCCCGCCCTAAACCCTCCTCATCAGGACTCGACAAACTAAGCGTGAAATCGATTTCTACCCTGTTGACAGACCCCAACATGTTTGATCATTTTTGAAACCCAACTTATGTGCAGAAAAAGCATCCTCTCGACGGCTTTATCAACCCTGTAGATTCCTAAGTCTTTTATAAACCCTTATCAACCCCATGGCCCACGGAATCCAGAAACGCTTGCGGGCTGGGCGCGCTAGGTTCCCGACGATGGCCACCTTTCAGCACGAGGGGTACAACGACACGGTCTTTGCTCCATGGCTTTACCGTGGCTTGGGCCGAATACCTAGAAATGACGACACGAACTCAGCAGGGGGCATCCTAGGTCCTAGATGATTTCGTGCATACCGTGGCTTGTGCCAAAAATCCGGAAGCTCCCCAAGTCCTTCAACTAAGGGCTCTTTTTGTGATAATCTCAGGAACATGTGGCTTTTGCCTGAAAGTATAAGGTTTCAAGATGCAGGGGTTGAGATTCTGGTGAGACCTATACCGTGGCTTGGGCCTGAATGTAAAGGGGGTGTGTTCTGCAACTGGTTGGCCTCTTCGGGCTTTCCCTCAAACCAATGGAACCCCCAACACAACTTCCCTAATCCTGAAACCCTCAGACGCATCATGTGGAGCATTGTGGAACCTTGCCTGCCGTGTGCGAGTGTAAGAGTCGAAACCCTCAGACACGTCCAACAGTCTTTCGCACCCTTCAGGAAAGCAGCTTATGGAGTTCCTCCACGGCCGCTTGGGCGTTTTTTTGCGCAGCTGAACCGTGTTTTAGGGTCCGGGCTCTGAAATTGAACTTTCACCTTTGCTCCTGTAGCCGCCTGGGTTGGCATCCTTGCCAACCGTGTAATATAGCAGGGGGGGGGCCGAAATCATAGCCAATGCGATTGTACATTGTACACCAAGATCCTATTCGAGTTAATTAAGGTGCCTGTATTGGTCCCCATACCCCAGAAACCCTCAGAACCGTATAAAACACTAGGTCCCTAGGTGTCCCTAAGCCCTTGACCCTAAACCAGGGCTGATGGATCGGCCACCACTGGGTGCCGAGCTGCAGCTCACAGGAAATCCGGTGATCGAGTACGAAAGGCGGGAGCGCTTGAGTGGTTCTGGCTTTTGAATTCCCGACGACTGCAGCTAGCACTGTTGATACGTAGCTTCTTGCCTGTTTCGAAACCCCAGTGACAACAGTCTGCGATAAGAGCCCTTGTGGAACACCATGCAAGACCTAGCTTCCAACCGCGTCCTCCTTGCACAGGTTCTTTGACCGCAGCATTGAGCTGCTCATGCACGCCGAGGTGGTGAAACTCACGCAAAATGAGAGGGCTGTTCTACTCTATGTGCTAAGGTCTAACCGAAGTTTGAATAAACTTCCTGGTCCTAGTCTCGGACATTTGTCATGTTTCTCTCAAAGTTTAGGGGCTGTCCAAGTCAGTTTGTGGAAGGGATGTTGCTAGAGGTCTTTAAGGCATTGCATGGTTTTGGAGATACGGCTTGAAGTTCGGTTTTTTGGGAGTGGGCGAAGGGCCGTCTGCTGTCCTTTCCTCCTCGTCCTACGCATAATTGACAGGTTATCGGGTGCATAAAGAATTTCTCAAGTTCAGTCTCCTGCGCTGCAAAGTCATGACCTTCACGCTTCAAACCCAAAGTGTTGCGGCCCTCAACAAGGAAACAATCAACTGCATAAGCCCTGACACCCTGCACCCCCATCCCCGAACCCCCGAAACCTAAACCGAAAATCCCTGAACCCGCAAACCCCTGAACCCAGGAACCCTAAACCACTAAAGCATAGCTGGTGCCAACTGTTCAACCGAGACTCCCTGCAATGCGGGCTTCGTCCTTGCTAGGTAGGAGGGAAAAAAGCCTGGACCTTTAGTCTCTGACATTGGCAGGTCTTTTGCCTGCCTCTGGCACTGCTCATCTTTTGCCGTCTCGTGGGGGAGGCCGTCCCGCAAACTATGCTAGGGCTTTAGGGGTTTAGGATTTAGGATCTTTTGTTAATATACGTGAGAGCTCTATAAGGCTACCAAAAGTTTGGAGCTTAGGATTTGGGGTTGCCAGACTGAAGATGTGCAACAGCGAGTCTCGGACTGCACGTGTCTATATCATGTTGTCAGCCCATGTTAAAAAAAAGCCTGGGGCTGCTCTCTAGCCGGGGAGTGCTGGGTTTAGAGATTGGGGTCCGGCTTTATGGTTTAAGCTTGCTTAGGTTGAAGGTTTGAGTGTTCGCATTTCACGGCTCAAGGTAAGACTTATTGATCTATGTCCGCTCTATTTTCTCTATTGGGTCTGTGTTTGTCTTCGCAGGGGTCCTGACTGGCTCCTTGCTACGTCTTCGGGTTTGGAGTTAAAAGCTTCTTGTGTTCAGGAATGTTGAGTTAACATGCCTGAAAAGATTTTAAAGAAAACCGGTCGGTCAAAAAAGAGACTGCACGTGTCCGACTTTGGTTTCTGTAGGAACCTTATCCCGTACTTACAAGTATCCCGGAACTTCCAAGATCTGTCATGTAATGTTTAGGTACCTAATGTAGGAACCTGAAAACGAAACCTTGGGCCGTTATTAGGGTTCCTTAAATTAAGTGAATCCTACTATTTTGGGGTTATAGGCCCAGGGTTTCTTACTCAGGTTCCTACATCAGGCCCTTAATTAAGCCCTCTATTCTCCGCAGGCACCAAACTTGCAAACCCACGTCCCCAGATCCGGCTGCTGATTCTGCCTCCTATCATTGTCGTCACATCTCTCGCAGCAGCGTCTGCGCTCTGCGTGACCTGTGCAGTTTCAGAAATGCTTGCATTTCTGGATTAAAGTTTAGGGTGTAGCGGGAAATGTGGAATGCCTCTATACTTCAACGTCGACCTGCAGTAGGCCGATCCTTCCATTGACCTGTCAGAAAACAAGGCACGCCTTACAGAAACACCAGAAAAGTGAATCTTGAAAGTAAGGAAAAATCCCTGCCTCTAAACAGGGGCCTCAAGTATTGAGAAGCACCGCCTTCATTCAGGCAAAATGGATGTGTTAAGATTTAGGTGCTGTGGAATTTTTGAGTTTCGGCTCTGAAGGCAAGGTTCTGTAGGGTTTTTGCAATGATGACTTGGAATTTCGGGTTGAGAATTTCGGTTTGACGTTTGAATGCAAGAGAGAGAGAGAGAGAGAGAGAGAGAGAGAGAGACGGAGGATTTCGGTTGTTAAAGCCAAGATGATTCTTCGAGTGGAGCTTTAGCGGCTTAAGTTGGGGTTTCTACTACTTAGGGCTCAGGGCTCTTTGTGAGTTTAGGAAAATGGCCACCGCTCCAGGCTGCAGGTAGATCCAAGACCGTCGCATCCATAGCCAAACACATAGGACCCTTTATCCAAACTCTAAGCTCGACCTGTGTGTGTGTGTGTGTGTTGTTGTGTGTGGTTGTGTGTGTGTGTTTGTGTGTGTGTGTGTGTGTTTGTGTGTGTGTGTGTGTGTGTGTGTGTGTTTATGTGTGTTTGTGTGTGTGTTTATGTGTGTTTGTGTGTGTTTGTGTGTGTGTTTGTGTGTGTTTGTGTGTGTGTGTGTGTGTGTTTGTGTGTGTGTGTGTGTGTGTGTGTGTGTGTGTGTGTGTGTGTGTGTGTGTGTGTGTGTGTGTGTGTGTGTGTGTGTGTGTGTGTGTGTGTGTGTGTGTGTGTGTGTGTGTGTGTGTGTGTGTGTGCGTGTGTGTGTGTGTGTGTGTTTGTTTGTGTGTGTGTGTTTGTTTGTGTGTGTGTGTTTGTTTGTGTGTGTGTGTGTTTGTTTGTGTGTGTGTTTGTTTGTGTGTGTGTGTGTGTGTTTGTTTGTGTGTGTGTGTTTGTGTGTGTGTGTGTGTGTCTGGGGTTTAGGGTCGACACAAAACGAGCCGTAAAGGCATCTGAAACCTGCCCCCTCGACCCTAAAAGTGCGCTTTCATGGTCGTTTCTCCATAGCCCGAAATCCTAACACGTCACACCCGAGCCTTTGAAACAGCTCAGGCAATCAGACCTGGCACCTCCGAATGTCAAAGCCCCAGCCCGACACCTCAGGCACTCATGAACCTTTCTAATGTAGGAACCTGATTAAGAGACCGTGGCCCTATAACCCCAATATATATATATATATATATAGATATATATATATATATATATATATATATATATTAGGATCTATATATAGAACCCTAATAAAGGCCCAGGGTTTCTTCATCAGGTTCCTACCTTAGGACCTTAACTAGCTGAGCCCTATAGGAGCATTTTTTGGCAAGCAGGGCCATGCCGCTAGACCCTACCCATAGGCCCCATAGTAGTTCGTTTCTGGGGTTACCTTATAGAATTCTAAATATTAACACCAAAAAGGAACTACTTAGGGGCCTTTGGGTAAGCCCGAAATCCGAATCTCAAGGTACCCCTAGCGCACTGGACTCCACCGTCTCCCGACGTGCCGCACCTTGACTGCACGAAGAGCTGTGGTTGTTGATTTGTAGGGTGTCATGATTTAAGGAGTTTGGTTCATACTGAGTTTTATGATTTAAAAGGCCATTATTCTACATACTTTTGGGGGCTAGGTCTATTACTAAGGAGTTTGGTTCATACTGAGTTGTATATGGGAGTTTCCCCAGAAAACGGGGGACCCTAATATAGCACCCTGAAAATAGTGGGATCCTGGTTGTTGCGGACCCCAAAAATAGAAGGTACCCCGTAGTCTCGGAAACTCCTATATGAACCTTAATTGCAAGGTCAAGAAGAGGCTCGTGGGGTGCTGTGGGCTCTAGAGTTTGAGTATCTCATCCCGTGTTTCCCTTACCATCCTTGAAACGAAGCCAAAGCCTCCAACCCTAAAGAAAACCCCATAACCCGAAATCCTACCAGAAGCCCCCAACCCTACAAATAGTCGGTTATGACCCCAACCCTCACAAACGTGGGTCATTAGTAGATCCCCAATTTACCTCATGGTACCCCCAACAATGAGGCCGACGATGCTATCGGTTCTTCTGGCTCTGGGCTTGGACTACGCGCTGTTCATGCTCACACGCTTCGAAGAGAACCGATGCCTAACAGAAATGGAGGCTATAGAACAGACAATTCTGAATCCTATTGTTGATGATATAAATCCTGCAATACCTTCAGGACCCTAAACTATGGAATACTAATTAGCATATTTCTTGTTATGGGTAATGCAGGATTGATATCATCAACCGTAAAACCCCTCAGACCCGAAGCCCTGAACCCCCGAACCTCTGAACCCCTAGACTCATACACTTGTAGCCCCTGCAGGGAGTTGATGGCTTAGGGTTTGCGGCAGGAGTGGGAGTTGAAGGCTCGTGAGTTGGGCTTGCACGCCGAGCTGCTGAGATCTGGGTAAGGAACTTCACTACGCAGGACGAATTCGAGCAAAGATCCCGAACAAGGACCTAGATTAGGGTTTGCCTTCAACCGCAAATGCCGCAGAACAGTAGCCTCTGACCCGCTGACGAGTCATTAATTAAAATACAGGGCATAACCCCAAAACGGTGGGTAATATAGGGTATGGAATAAGTACCAAGATTATTCCATAAGGTTCCTGGTTATGTTTCGCATCATGGACCCCAAGACCCTTCACTAGCTACTTAGGGCACCTACGGTGACTTTTAGCACCGTGACGGATCGCAAACTCGCTTGCAAAGAGCCAAGGCCTCGAGCATGGCTGAGGGTTTAGAGTTCAGGGTTTAGGGCCTTGTCGTATTTGTTCATGGATGCATAGAAGCGCTAGACCCCTAAACCCCTGGAAAAAGCATCAAAACATCCCTGGGGAATTCAGGATCGAAAGACATGGAGATCTCGGCGAATGTGTCCATTCTCATTTGCGAGACTGGGCGGCTTGCCTTTGCCGGGGCATCATTCGTTTGAATTGTACTTTGTGAGGGCATTTACAAGGGCTGCTGGGTTTAGCCAAAGAGTAGAATGGTTTAAGTTCAGGGCTTGGGGACAGACTTTACGGGTTTGGGGTAGTGCGTTGAAGGACATTGGGGTTTAAGCTCTTAGGGCATTGGTCTTAAGCCTTAAGCCATTGGTGGTAAAGATATCAAGCTTGCAGCTTTACACACCATTCCTCCCACACCTTCGACGAGACATGTCCTACGCACGAAAAGCCCCGAAACCCCAAACTCTACAGCCCTAAACCCGCGAACCCTAAACGCCTCTAAACGCGACAAATTCCAAGGCACACCATTCTTGTGAGCGGAAGTCTTATCGCCATTGCGTTCTTCGGGGCGCTCACACTTCCGGCGCCTGGTTCTGATGGAAACGGGCTTTTCGTCTACTGTTTGTCGGCCTATATATGAAGTGGGGTTGATACTCGTTCTTCGGAAAGATGGTGATACTTGGGGTGTTACTGTGGGGATACTCGAAACAAAAGCCCGACTTCGCATCCCTCTCTGCCTAACCGGCTACGGGACTTCACTGGATACATCCGCGCGAGGTGCGCGTTTGCTATGTCTCTACTCCGTGAGCAAAGCATCATCATCGCCCTCCCATTGCTCAGGCTTTCGCAGCATCAGCACCACTGCCGTCGTAATTTTCAGCATCATCATGATACGATTTCTTGTGATTCGTTGATGTCTCCGCTGCCATCTCGATCACCCATGCCACCGTCACGATTCTCTTCCGCACCCCAAAGCGAGAAAGGCTTTGAGAGATGACTTTCGAGCCTGAACAAAGGAAACCTGAAAAGCTTAATTTACCAAACTGAAACTCCAAGATCTAGAACTTCATCCCCTTTGACTCAAAAACCTGCTGGAACAGTACATCTAACCGAACCCTTTCATGATTTCGCTCGCATAACTGCATACCCCAACTGTCCCTAACTATTATTTGTAACGTGTAAACCCTCAACCCTACTAAACCCGAACTTCCAACTCTAATCCTACACTGGGAGTCCAAAACCTAACTGCTGCCAAGGAACAGAATTTGCACAGCGCGGGAGAGGTTCTGGGCATCACCGTGGTGTGCTGCATGCTTTTCAGCTCCATGGCATGGGTTGAAGGTTAGAGTTTCCGAAAATTAGGCGTACCTGACTTTGGGATCCTTATAATAAGGATCCTACTATTTAGGCTACTATATTAGGGTCCCCTCTTACAGAAAGTCCCATATTGTAGTAACAGGTCTTGGAGTCCTGGGAGCTTGCTCAGCATTCGTCGCGCAGAACCAGAACTGACAGTCTTTGTAGGATTGCAAGTCTTGCTGTGATCATGTATGGCTGACGCTTGGAACTCAGACTTTAGGAATCTGGGAGGAGTTTGGGGCATATGGATTTCGGGTCAGGTATAGGGTATAGGCTTTAGGGTATGAGGTCTAGGGTTTCGGATGGAGGGTTCGGGGCTTCGGGTTAAAGGGACTTGGGCTGCGAGGTGCAGACTTCCCCGAGTTTCCGGAAGCAAGGACTAGAGCCTTGGTGCTTTTTCCGTATACTATGGTGTATTACAGCATATTGTGGTATAGAATAGCAAAGAACATCTTCGCATATACACCACACTCGACCTTCATCTGCGTGGTAAGCCCTAAACCCTGCGGAGTTGTTTCTTCGGAGTCGGCCATGCCGGAACCCAAGAACCCCAGCCCCAAAAGCGCAAAGCAGCCTCACAAACCCCATTAAGGCTCGAACCCCGAAGCCTTTCGCTCTAAGTCATCTTGGGTTTAAGATTGTTTTTAATGGTATTTAAGGGTCGGCCCCACTACGGGTTCACAAACAGGTTCAGGGGGAAAGGGGTCCCTCAACCGGAACACAAGGAAACTTCACTGCTTGGGCCGAAAACTTAAAGTCCGAACACCTTCCCACAAACCCGGAAATCGATCAACCCAAAACAGCCAACTTTTACGGCCTAGAGCCACAATGCTGGCCTAACCGAACGTATATGCTCGCTACTACGGCCCTGGTGCGCTTTATCCTTTAATATGATGTTGTCTATGATATTGCTGCTATGGTTGTAGTGACAGAAGAGGGCGAACGAGTCATGCACCGCTGAGGGGCGAGGGCAATTACTAAGGCAACTTGTTTTTAATTTCTTGGTTTGAGAACTTGCTGGGGGGATGCAAGTCCCTCTCCCCACGTATTCCGGTAGAAACGGTGGCAACCGGACCTCATGAAGCCGTCTCTTCGTTGAGAGAGTGTACGAGCCGAAACCCCAAAAACCCTTAAATCCTCAGACCCGGTTTTGGGTTTGGAGTCCTTAGGAGGGTGATTCCCCAGACCCAGATTCCTAAGCCTTAATACTTAAAGGGTCATGGGACTTAGTAACTAGGGTGATAAGTAAGGTAACTATACTTATAAGCACTTATAACCCCAATTCTGGTACCTTTTTAAACCCCTTACCTTTGGTTAGTAGGGAATGGAAGAAAGGTAGTAATAGTAGTTAGAATTGTGCCCCATTCCTCCATTCCCTACCAACCAAAGGCAAGTAAATCCCAAAATCTAAGCCCTGGTACTTCTGAGGTGTTTCGCTCTGCCCAGCGCTGCTACTGCTCTTCGGGCGCTGGCTCACGGCCCCAGCGTGCGGTAGCGGCAGCCACCGCCCTGAAAAACTTTAGGACTCAGGGACTTCAGGGTTTAGGAACGTCAAAATCTGATGTTTTAGGGTTTAGAAGCTTCAACCCTAAAGTGCAGATCTGTTAACCACTTGAGCTTTTTTCCCTTTAGATGAAGCCACAGGTTAACGCTGCAATCTAAACAAGAAGTCCTTATAGAGCCCAGTAGTCTAATGATTACAGCCGCTCGTTTCAAGAAGAAGAGGGCTTTGTTTTGTGCTGCGGCCTGGCAGTGTTTGAATATAGGAGTTTCCGAAAATTAGGGGCACCTTATCTTGTGGTCCTTATAAAAAGGATCCTACTATTTAGGGTACTATATTAGTGTCCCCTATTTCCGGAAACTCCCATTTATGGTCTCGGTCTAGGGTTCTGATTTTCGGACTGTTCTGGGGGCTTGGGTCTGGGACATGGTTAAGGGTTTAGGGATAAGCTGATGTAGGCTTGTACAAATCTAGGGTTAGGCCTATTTGGGGTTTAGGGCTTCGGGTGTAGGGTTAAGGGCTGGCTCCAATTAAATGCTCAAATATGTTTCAACTAATAGTCGTTCCTCATGAACAAGCTTGAGGGCGGACCCGGTAGAGGCGCTGCAGACCGGATGCAAAAGGGCTAAGGGTGTCAAAGCGGAGGATTTCAGTGTCCAGTTTGGGAATTTGAATCCAGGCTACAGGGTTTGGGCTTTGTGTCGATGGCAAGCGCCTGAGCTCTGAGACTCAAACAACAGGGGGGTCGGCGAAATAAAGAAAACCCTTACCATGGGAGATGCAAAAGTGTAGAGCAAACGAAAACGCTCGCTTGAACATGCCGGGTTTAGGGCTTAGGGTTTGGAGTTTTTGGGTTTAGGGTTTCGGGGCTCAGGATGTGCCTGTTGTTTCCGCTATGCATCGTACTGTTCTCCGTTTAGGGACCCGATTATCATAAAGGGTTCACGGGCTGAAGGTGACCAAGAGAAGCTCTCTGGGAAGATGAGCGGTAGCGTGCCTCGGCTTGCGGCGGCTGTGGGGCGCAGCGCCCACACCTACATATGTAGAGGTCAGTGGTTTGGGGCTTCGGTTTAGGGTTAAGGGCAGGCTTATGCTTGATAGCCACATATTCTGAAAGTCCTCATGTATTGGTACCATGGTATACCCTGGAATCCTATTCTATTTCTTAAGGCCCTTACTGTGAAGCTCTAGACCTGCTTGCAGCAAGCGTGGACTAGGCCCAGAATGATACCACGGCAAAGCCCTTTTTCTGATTATGAAGGTCCCGATACTCCCCATTTACCACCCACCCCCCGCCGCTGAAGTTTAACAATACCGATCAGGCTTTCGGGTTTTGGAGCAGAGGTGTTGGAGCTTCCAGGTGAAAGGCTTGGTTCCAGGTTGTTGGCTCACGTGGCTATGCAGCTGGCATTCGGTCGTCGGTGGGTTTTCTTGATTTCAATGTTTTGCAGAGGTAGATGAGGACTGCGAAGCCAAGACTGGCAGCCCAGCAATGTCTCCCCCAGACTGCATCCCATAACGAAAGCGCTAAAACCCGTGAGAAATATCGAAAACCGTAAAAACTCTAAAAACTAAACCCCATGAATCTTCAGTTAAGAAGGAGAGGGAGGCTCTCTTCAGTGGAGAGGCCAACGTCCGCTACCAGGTGCGCCAGTATACAGGACTTTCTCATAGGGTGCTCTCGATGTGCTGCGATGTTTCAGGAGCTTTACAGTTATCAGTTTCAGCTTTGTTTTGAGACCTTCACAGTGTGAGGAATAAGGTTCTGGTGAAAGCTTAGAGGCCAGAGCGCGATTTGGTCTTCGGGGCGTTAATCTTGGCGGAGGCATGATTCTGTGGGCTATTTTGGCGTAAACTGCAGGTGCTCAGGCCAGGATCTTCAGGTTTTAGGGTTTAGGCTGCTAGTCGTCAAGCAGGCGGCAGAAGCGGTAAATTAGGTCGAATCATTTGACTCACTGCAGACTTTAACCCCCGACTCCAATATCCTTGGAACACCCTACCACCCTAGCGCGAACCTTAGCCCGAAATCCTTTGTACAACTTACAGCCCCTGCCTGTAAAAGCAGACTCTTACTGTATAGTAGACCCTCACTTTTCTGCCAGGGATGGTTCAGGCTGATGCGTTTGGTCCAGCGCTGGCCCAATGGGGCAGTGGCGGCTGTGCCTTTCGGACTTTCGCGTGCTGGGGTGGTTAGGGCTTCATGTCGTGAAGGTTGCTCTCTGGTTTGCAGATCTTGTTGGTTTAGTCAATCGATGTATTTGGGTATAGGAGGTGGAAGAACAACAGGATCCCGATATCGTCCCCATATCACTATGCCATAAAAGTTGAGCAGCAAGGAAGAGTGAAGGTTTAGTCTGTTCTTCGCACCGATCACTCTGTACTTCTCAGAACCTCCCAATAAAATTTCATAAGGGAGGAAATTTCGGAGGTTGAGGGCACGGGGGTTCAGAGTCCATCATAGCTCCCGGAGCTACCGACCAGACCTCGCCAAATGCCCTCACTGAGAGGTTTCTCCTTTTTCTGCCTGTGACATGGCAGATCCCTCGGCTGCAAGGACCCCTGGATGCATTGGGTGGCTTAGGCAGCTGGAGTTAAAGCCTAAAAAGCCTTAAGACGACAGGGCTAAGAGCTCGCAAAAGACGCAGCAAGGTTCGCCACATGTCTGTCAGAGTTATCTTCGACTCGGAATGTGAAATTCTGGACATTGCGGGGCTCCTTTACAAAGGGCTGAAGCTTTAATGGTTTTAGGGCTTAGGATTTGTCATCTGCCTTGTTTGCGCGCTCGATTTCGTGACTTAGTATCCCCTAGACCCCGAATAACTCCCAGCTCCAAGCCACTTACTGAGCCATTGACTAGCGAGGCAAGTGTCAAAATGAACCCTACAGAACCCTCTAATTAAGGATCTGGGACCCGGGTTGGGGACGTGGCGCTTAGCGTTCGAAACATACCAGAACTTGAGTCTGATTCTCGGTTCATGAACCCTGCTGTGTCTCCCTTCTGTAGCTTCCTCAGACAGACGCATGATGTTAGGCGTGGCCTTACGGAATCGAGGAGGTGAGCAAGTGCATGGTGTTCTTGCTGAATTGTCAATCGTGTGGGTTTGCGTAAACCCTGAACCTTGAAGACAAGAATAGCCTGTACAGCCTGTACACGTACCATGCGGGCTCTACTAGACCCGCCTTATCTCTAGACTCTAGCCTGACCCTGTGCAGCAACCTAAGTTCTACTCCAATCCCTGTGCCCTTCACTGCCGCTCCTCATCAGGAACTGCCGACATATATGCGGCCCTGCCCAAGGACATGCCGAGTGTTCTAGCGATGAGGTGGGGCCGGGCTCGTACTCGATTTTGGTTCCCGGGTGCAGTATGCGGCGAGGAAAGGTGCTTCGAGTTCAGAACTTACGGATTTAGGGAATTTATGGGCTTCTGCTGTGCGACCAGCGGCTGGAAGAACAAAAGTACCACCTGTTAGCTGCGGCTCTTAGCCGCTGCTGTGCAAGTTGCTGTGTGTTTCTGAAAGTTCTGAGAGCTGGCGGGCCAAAGCAGAAAACACATGCCGCGTCGCTGACATGCTTCCTGCGTCATCAGCACTTGACAGCACTAGAACATTGAACCTCACCCAATGTGCCCGAGACGCTTTGGCAGACCATCCTGATCACCTGTGGGCCACGCAAACCCTATCCCAAGCCCTCGAAGCCCTGACTGACCCCTTACACCCTCAAGCCCCAAGACCCCAAAACCTTAACCCCAAACTCGAAAGCCCGAGCCCACCCCCCGGGTTCCGCAAGGCAGCTGGGATCTGAGTTTCCTGCCGGGCAGTTCGATCCCTACACGGCTTCCCGCCGTGCGACCAGCGTCTGTAGAGTCTATATAGTTGCTCAGTTGGGAGCTTCAGGAAATATGGGAATGTAATCATTGCACGCCCCCTATGAATGGAGCCCTATTTCATTCAGGGAACAAGCGTTTGTTGCACAACTGGGGCTTCGAGTTTCAGGCATCTAAAGCTGGAGCAGCATAAATGTGTGGGATGTCGGGCGTTTATTATGCCGCAATGGCTCATGTGGTCTTGCCCTGTCCAATAGGAAGAATCATAGAAAAGATAGGATCCAACAGCCCAACCCATCCTCTGCAGGGCGCTAGATGTCGATGCTGGATAAACGCGAGTTTTCGATTCGAAGGAATGGATGTGCACTCTGTCAATAATTACTGTTGGAACTAAATCATGCTGGTTCAGCATTTGGCGCTCAGATTGTGCTGCGCGACCGCAGCAATAGCGCAGAGGGGCGCCCCAATGCGCTGATGACAGAGACGCCGGACTATTTTATGAAGCTTACATCCCCAAAGCCTTTTCTTAAACTTTAGCGGTCTTTAAACCCTCACTTCAAAGGCATTGAGGCTCGCGAGGCAGCGAAGTGAGCGAACGTAAGAGGAAGAGAATCAACACGACTGACGTTTTGAACACCTTGGGGATAGCCGTATGCTACTCACATTTTGCTGGTGGGTGGCAGTCTTCTTTCAGCTCCTGGCAGGTTTTGGCAGCGATAAAAGCCGGAAGCTGCAGTTCAGAGGAAGCCACTGAAGGGCCTTGTGCAAGCCTTCCCAAGCCTTCCATGCAGAATGCAGGGTGTACAATGGTACGATGCGTAGGCTTGTTCAGCGGGTCTTGGAGTGTGCTCTTCCTCTTCCGCTCAAGGCAAGGCTACGAGGCCATGCTCCAGCTCTGCTGCTTGGGCCCGTAGTAGTATTTCTTTTAGTCCGTAGGATCAGCAACCGGTTTACGGATGCCCCATGTGTGCTCCCCAAGCCCTAAACCAAGACTCTAAACCACGAACTAAGTGTATTGCAGGAGTGGGCGAGGAGCACATGCCGCTCAGGGTTATTCTCAAACGCTTTCTTTCCACTACGGCCCCCTAAGCCCTGAACCCGAAACCCTGAACACCCGTTTGCCATGCGATCTGCAGTGGTTGTGCTCAAGGGATTCTGAGGGGAGAGTTGTCTCTGTGGCTCGGGTTTATTTGTATAATTACCCATAGAGACAATAGAGACCCCAAAGTAATTCCTTTTTGGGATTACTTTGGAGCATTCCATATATGAACCCCCAAAAGGAACTACTTTGGGGCGCTAGGGTAGTGGTACTTTAATGTCACGACTCCAAGTCCCCGTGTAGTTGCAGACTTCTCTGACCTCGAACCACATGCCTTGCCTGGATTGTCAGAGTGCATGAGCGTCGAAATGCATTTTTCTGCCCCAAAGCCCCAAGCCCACAAAGAGCAATAGGACCTGCTGTTGACTCATATGGGAGTTTCCGCAAATGTACTATTTAGGGTACTGGATTAGGGTCCCCTATTTTCGGAAACCCCCATATCAGTGTTTAGGAACAGCTGCCCCGAAAGAAGAAACTTGAACCGCGAGCTTTGCAATGGCACGAACCCTGCCTGACAGAGACCAAAAGTGAGAACCGCAAGAGCTGAAACTGGCATTGCTGTGCGTAGAGCCTGGCGAGACAACCGTTTAGAGTTACAAGAGCCCAAAGCTCTATAACAAAACCTTTAGGCTACTTTAGAGATTCATGCTGCGTACCCGTGGCATCAGAACCTGCAGCCTCATTTTAACAGGGCCTCTGCACACTTCACGGTGTCGAAGGGGTCTTGAACAAACTGCCTGCCGCCCCGAGACTACAGGTAACATGCTGGATCAGATTGGATCAGCAGCTTCGCTCTGCATATCGAAACTTCAGGTTACAGGGCCTGGTGCCGTTGCTTTTCAGGCCACACCCTCAAAGCATCAAAGGCCCCGTTGTCCCCTTGTACCCTTGAGCTCAAGACTCGTTTGTTCTGTCGGGCTTGCGGTTTCAGGCTTCCAGACCTCAAAGTCAACGGCTGTTGAGCGTAAACTCTTACCATGTCTGATCTGCGACCTAGAATTGGGGGTTAGGGTACTTCTGGTTTTGGGTATTTTATTTCGGGCCTCATGCGAAGTGAAGCACGCTTCCACCCTAATTCGCATGTCAACTCTTTTACACGAGGTGTTTGCCGGCATCCAAACCATGCAACCAAACCCTGGATCTTCACATCGTTTTTCTTGGAAGCTCCATATCCTGCACAGTGGAAAAGTTTCCTGCCTTTCAGTGGTCGGCGCTGCAATGAGATCAACACATTGGGCTCATACCTCCCCGAAGTTGTCATCGCCCTGGCCTCGCAACCCAAGTACTCGAAGCCCTAAGCCCCTTTTGCGCTTCTCCATCTTTACCCCTGACCGCGGGAAAGCACTACGCCTCTGTACCGAAAGCCTTTGCAGAGGTTGATTCAATGCTGGGTCCTGTTCGGCTACTGGACCAGACGGTAGATTGGCAGAAGGCCAGGGTTTAGGGGTTTCGGGTTTAGGGGCCAGCCACTCAAAAAGACCAGAAGTGATCGGCCCAAGCTGAGGGATGATATGTCTTCCAGGCTGAGTTCAACTTTCAGCGTCCCCTTGCCCTCATTTTCTAGACCCTTCGTCTCTTTCAGCCCCATCTTTCATCGCGTTGTCCTAACCTGTGCCGTAGGGCTCTTCTGATCAAGATTCAAGATCCTGAAGTCGCCATACTGACCCCAGACCCGACTTCCTACTCCGCTCCTGGGGCCTAAGTTTGGGGTAGAGGTGAAGTACAGACGCTCCAGTTAGGCTTCCGACAAGGCCCGAAGATGCCGTAGCAGGAGAATGAGCAATTAATGTGCAGGCTTTTGGGCGTCGATGCACTAAACCTTACCTTAACCCCAAATAACCTACCTTTCTAAGGACCCATATAAGGAAATCATATTAAGGAACCCTACAAAGGTGGGGTTCTTAGGGTCCAGGTAAGCCCTAAAGCTTCTTAAGCCGGCTCCTTAGTCCGACACAACAAGAACCAAAGAGAAGGATCCACCTCCTAGGGCATCACTCGGATTTTGGATCCCTAATTTTCGGAAACTCCCATTTGGGTTCAGAGGGTCTTGGGAATTAGGCTCGAAGAGCGAAGCCTTGAAGCCTTTTCCGAAAATGAGGGGTGCCTTATTCTGGGGTCCTTATAATAGGGATCCTGCTATTTAAGGTACTGCATTAGGGTCCCCTATTTCATTAAACCGTTGGGGCTGGTGGTTTGGAGTTTCACGATTCAAGGTCTCAGGGATGGCGGTTTGCGGGCATTGTCTGGCGGTTTAAAGCCTCCTCCGCACTATAGTACTTAATAATTGCTCTCCATTTCCAGACAGTGCCTTGTTTTAGGCTCCTTCTGATAAGGACCCTACTATGCAGGGTACTATATTAGGGTCGCCTGTTTTCGGAAACTCCCAAATAAACTGGCACAGTCGTAATTCGCAGAGACTTTTGCGAGGCGCAGCTGTATCGCTCTTCTGTTGGCCCGCCCTCCATGCACAAGATCTATGGGACCCTTTTCCTTTTGGTTTGCGTGGTTTGAGTTTGCAGGGTTTTGTAGGTTTGGGGTCTAGAGTTTCAAGATTCAAGGTTTGGGAGCTTTTGGAGTTTGAGGCTTTCGGGTTTGCATCGTCTTGGGGTCGGTTCTCGTGGGTTTAGGGTTCAGGGTTCAGGCTACGGTTTCGGCTCGGACCTGAGCCTACAAACAAAGGCAAACCCCGGACCGGTGTGAACCCAAGCATCCCAGGTTGCCTTTGGGACACGCCTTCAGGGAAGACGTCTTTAAAAGCGGGGGGGGGCTTAGTTCAAGAGATTAAGGGGACCTTTCAAAGCTATCAGGGGTGCATTGGTCAGACTCTGCGGCCTCGGTTCTGGGACAGTTTTCCTGTAATTTCTCAACTGTAATCCTGGCTGATCCGAAGCCCCGGTTGAGTCTCATATTGGGGTCGGAATGTTGCCGATGGTGGCCTCACACTAATCCAATCGCGAACCCTGAAGCGCTCCAGCACAGGACATTGCTGGATACGCATGTGAACGGATCTGCTGTTCTTCTGCAGGCCATTGAATGTGGTTCTGTCCATAGGATGAACTTAGTCTTGTGAGTATGTCCACTTCAAGCCTGTCGACACTAGTTAACGAGCTCCTTGTAAAGCTGAGTGTTCGGGTTCTTGTCCTTTGAGCTGCGTAGACGTAAGCCCGAACGCCTTAAAAAGCCGAAGCCAGCATTCTCAACAATTGGCCTCCGCATCACAATCATCAGGGACTCGCATTGGGTCTGTTGGGTCTGGGGCATGGCATGGGCTTGGATGTTGGTCTGGGGTTGAGGCTAAAGCTCAAACACCAGCGGAGGCTCCCTTAAGCCCCTTTGGCATTGGTTATCACCCGTCTGCAAAACACAGGTGGGCTCGTCTTTGGATCTTGTTCACTAGAATATTCAGTTCCTCAACCCGCCCAAAACACCCTTTTAGGTTGCGTAAGATTCCCTGACCTATAGTAACTTGAAACTAAGAAAACAGGTCCGTGACGCGTAGCCACTAACATGTATGAAACATTGTACTTTTTCTTTCATGCGGTAGCCAAAAACTTCATTTCATCATAACTAGCCTGTTATGTATGTAATGTTATATGGCTCTATCTTGTTGATCTTGTGAATTATGCTTGGGTATGGTATCGTATACTTTCGCATATTACGGTATGCAGCATCCCGAAGCCGTCCGAAAGGTGTTCGTGAACTTCCTCCCGCGTGGGCCCCGCGGTGCCTCGGATGATGACTTAGGGTTTAGGGTTGAGGGATTAGGGAGAAAAATCGAGTACATTGGCATGATTCCAGACTCGACCACCTTTAGATGCTCCTCAATTAATTATGTAAAGTTAAAGGTGCAGAGACGGCTTGGGATTGTGCGTAAGCATGTACCCCAATCAGGCATCTGAGGATGAGGCACGGCCCCGGGATCACAGTGGCTGTTGGGTCTCGTTACGTCACCTGCCAAGTCCTAAAACCAAAGCTCGAAATGCCTAAGCTTGTGAAGTCTTATGGGATATTTACCTTCACCCATGAACCTGCAAGGGATTTCTACAAAGTGCATTGCAATAAGGAAGTACTAAGTACTTTAAAGGGATTCCGAGGTAGTTGCAGCTTGCCAGGAAACCGGAAGAGAAACCTGCGATCCGAACCCCCGAGACCCCAAAACCAAAACCTCGAACCACACATCCTCGAAACCTCAAAGCCTGGAATTATAGGGTTTTAGGGGTTTAGGGTTTTTAGGGTTTAGGGGATTTTAGAGTTTAGTGACATATAAGTTTCGTTCAGAAGTGCGCGCAAGAAGCACTCCAGGGGCGGCGTGGCTGCGCGCTGCGCGGCAGGGCCTGCAGCTCTGGGAAGGCTCAGACGCTCCTGACTTCTAATGTCCCCGTGTATATGGTTTAGGGTTTAGGGTTTGTAAAAAGGGTTTAGGGTTTTATGGTTCCCAAAGCTATGCGACAGTGCACCCCAAAAGCCGATTCGATTGATCAAGTCCCCTATGTTACGAGCTTGAGCATCTTGAAATGGGACTGATCACTTTGCTCCCCAAATACCCACACTGCGAAAGGGCTCTACCTCAGCCCATGCAGTGGTAGGAGGACCTTGATCACCTAACCCGGGCTATTGAACTCAGCAAGTAGGGTTCATAGCAGTGCTTGTGCGAGGTTGGTTGACTAAAATCCCTTAGACTGTTGGGTCGCTTTGTCTGAAGCGGGTCCTGTTCAAGCTGAGTCCTTCAGGATTTTTAAGGAGTTTATGATTTCTGAACCATTCCATTGCGACCTCGGGAAACCCCACTTGCCTTGTCCCACTCTCCCGTCTACTCTCTACTGAGCCTCTCGAGGCGAGAGGGTCTAGTGGGGCCAGGAGGGCAAACGGCTTACACATACATGTATATACGGAGCTTGAGGCAACCAAACGCGTCAACCGAATCTATGCTTTGATACCTGAGAGGCCAGCATCCCTCCTTCACTGCTTCGCTGGGTGGAGGGGCCGCGCTGGTGGTGGATGCTCAGGTCAGGCTTCGGGGTTTAGGGTTCCTCAAAGAGTTCCTTCAAGGGCTCCCTCAAGGCTTCCTTTCAGGGCTCCTTTAGGGGCTCCTTCAAGGGTAGGGTTTAGGAAACTTCAGGGTGCAGGAGCAACTCCCTGCTCTAATTATTAAGGCCCCTATCTTAGGGGTGATCTTCGAATCCTGGTGTTTAAAGGTAAGCATCTTTGCGGCATGCCCCAAGAAAGGTTCATGAGAAGGGTGTCTAACCTGAGGGTTCTTGAGTGACCCTCACTCCCCGGTTACACTGCGAGGATGGAAGACTTTTCTCTTTATCCCCTTCTCCGGTGTAATCTCCCTACAATCCGAGCCCATGTTCTACACCTCTCTTCCACATTCTGAGAATAGCAGAAGCTCTCATGTTGTCTATTGCCTTCAATGTTTCACTGGTGCCAAAGCCCTCGCCTCGGTTCTTACAGGACACGGTCATGCAGTCAGTCCCCACCTACCTCCTGGTCTCCGTGCTGCTGATAACGCTGGTGGTCCTTGCCATCTTTCGGAGTGTCGTGCTTCCGTTGAGCGCCTTGGTTCCGCATTCTTGCATTCCGAGTGCTTCTTTGGAAGTTTGGTACGTTGGCCTTCCACCGAAACCCACAAGCCCGCCAAACGGGTGTAGGGCTTGGTTTAGGCTTTGCGCTTAGCGGCGTCCAGCGAGTTTTAGGGTGTTTTCGTTTGCCCTAAACTTAACCGGGTTCAGAGGGAACGGTGCCTTCCAAAGAAGAAGAAAAGCCGTTATGAGTTCCACACATCAGAACGGAAAAGGTTTGGAAAGAATCGAGTAATGGCTAGCGGGTTATACATAAAAATCTGATGAATCACCGCTGTTGAACTATTGCCTCGGGCTCCTTCTACGTATACCATAAAAATCCCCCAAGCCCCGACCCTATTCTAAGGATGCGGGCTTCGTCCTTGCTAGGTAGGAGGGAAAAATTCAAAGGAAGGCACCAGTGTAAAGCCAAGTTCAAGCTTTGAAGCCCCAGGGGTTCAGTCCAGTGCTTAGGGCAGCAAGGGCTCCGGATTTTGGGGTTTAGGTGTTTAGGCCTACCGTTTCGGATGCCTGGGAGAGAGAGAGAGAGAGAGAGAGAGAGAGAGACAAAGAGAGAGAGAGAGAGAGAGAGACAGAGAGAGACAGAGAGAGACAGAGAGAGAGAGAGAGGTTGTAGGCCTTAGCATCAATCCCGGAATTCATGCTTGAACATCCTGCAGGGCGTTTACCCCCCCCCTGCCCTGCCTTGACCATGAGAGCACCCAAACGACGAGTCCTATTAAGACCCCAGGGACTGAGTCCACGGCCTTTTCTGAGGTTTCCAGGGAAATTAAGACTTAACATCTGGAGCTCGATAGTTGCAGCTTGCTGTCGAGGGTTGGGGCTTCAGATTTGAAGGTTGGGGTTTGAGGCAGGCTCTGAGGGTTTAGGATTTGGGCATCATTTCGACGATGCAGATGGTTGGTCGTGGTTATCCTGGTGTGTTGGTATTGTTCCAGCAGTTCGTACTCTTGTGCTTGCCGTTTCGATGAACAGGCATTCCGAAAATATGTGGCGGATCATTCTAGCATACATCCGACAACCCAAGTCCAGCATGAGACTTCGGTATTTCACCGAAATACTGAGGGCTAGCGTTTGCATTGCTCTTCACCTTGGCCGCCACCTTTGGTGTAGCCGTGCTTGTCTACGAAACGCCTCTGTCACTTGGCAGGCACTTGAACGAGCTGTGTTCGGAAAGCGGCCTATGATTTAATTGTTTGTTTCTTAATTGGGTGCCATTAATGTTGAATTACCCCTAAGCCCTCCACACAAATCGAAGGCTCCACGGCTTGTTCCCGTGGCTGGCTGCACCTTGGCTGTGCCCAAGACTCCCAGGTCACAGGAGGGAGGCCCTTGGGGTGAGATTTCAGAGAGACCTCCTTCAAAAAGTGTTTACAGTTTAGGTCCGTTTAGGGTTTAGGGGTCTACAGTTTAGGTTTGATAGTTCATAGTTTAGAGCACGGGGTTGAAGTTCAAGTTGCTCTTCTTCGAGGTTTCGATCTCCTAAACTGCCCAAACCCTAAAGCCCTAAACCCTATACTGACTATAGTCTGGCATGATACTCGGGCTTAGGCCTGAAGTTCGGTCTTCTCTTCAAATTGTCCTAGTTTCCTATACTGAGCATCGGAACGGAACCCGAGTCTAAAAGTCAGGAATCTTTTGGTCAAGGTTCTGGGTGGTTTGAGCGGACTAGGCGCTAGGGTTGACAAAGCACTGAAAGTTTAAGGGCTTGCGACTTACAGGCTTCAGCTGTTTGGTCGGGCTTGGGGACTCAAAGGTCAAAGAGCTTTAAATCACAAACCCGTCGTTCGGGGTAGAAGGCCAGCGTGTGCCCTGCACCCTCTGCGGTGGCGATTTGGAAGATAGAGGATCAACGAGGGTTGCTGCGGTTTAGGAGTGCGGATGCTTCAGGTTTTGCTTGGAGGTGTTTCAATCGGGTTTGGGGTTCAGGATTAGCTTCTCGATTTAAGATGGCCGAATGACAGCAAAGGACTATGACGGCCTGTGCTTCGAAATCGTGCCGATTGCCATTAGCGTGGCGATTGCCCTTGGCCTGGACTACGATATCTTCCTTGTGAGCCGTGCTGGCAAGGGGAGTCGTCAGGGAAGCCTCGAGATCAAAAGTAGCTTGAACCCAATGTCGACCACAAGGGGATACTAGATACGCTTCGCAGAGTGGTGGATTCGTTGGTGAGGGGTCGGGGTTTCTCCTTTTGGGGGTCTTGGCATGTAGATTATGCATGGAGTTTAAGGGCAGGCCCCGGGGGATTGCTGTAGTGAGTAGGAGTTTTTTGGTAGATCAATTAGAATTTGTAAGGTACGGACAGAGTCGGCAAGCCTTGCATCGCCTTCCCGGCTATGTCGGCCAAGGGGACATTTCTCTACCGTCGCCTGCGACCTGTTAGAGACCGGATCTCAAGAATCTTCCGAAACCTCCAGAAAACATTGAAGGGTTTAGGTGTAAGCTTCAACTTGAGAAAGAGGCGGTTTTTGTGTCGAAGTCGCAGCGTGAACCCCGACCGTAGCAAAGCCTTGAATCGTCCGATGCATAACTATCATGCTGATTATTGCTGTTCTGATCAAAGGCATAGTAGTAATGACAATAACGAACGAACAGTCTTGCTGTAGTGATAAGCATACTTAAGTTATGTGTATGTACATAATATATATATATATATATATACATATATATATATATATACATATATATATATATATATATATATATGTGCGTGTGTGTGTGTGTGGGTGCGTGTATCTTGTATCTGTGTACGCTCAGTTGGTGCAGCTTAGGAGCCGGATTGTGGAGTTCCGACTCAAGGGCTTTACGGCAACTCGTCCTGTTTTTTGCGGTTTGAGTTGGGCCTTTGGGCGGAGGGCTCAGCACTTCGGAGTTTAAGTCGGAAAGGTTGAGGGGTTGCAGGCTTAGGGTTCGTGAATATAGGGGTCGAGCTCAAGGGCTTACCATAAGGCCCCAAAGTAGTTCCGTTTTGGGGTTCATATATAGAATCCTATAAAGTAATCCCAAAAAGGAACTACTTTGGGGCCTATGGGTAGGGTGCAGGATGATGGAGTTTAGAGCGCAAGGGCTGGGTCTGACAGCTACAGGGTGTTGAACCATTGTTGCTGCTGGGCTTTTTTTTCAGGATCAGGGGCCATGCAACGGACGTCCTAGAGCCCCAGAAAATCCTCGGCTCCGAAAACCATCAGCCAGATCCCAGGGACGTTTTGATACTGATACTGTCTGGATTTTCGAACTTTCTGAAACTTTAGGCTTATGAGGCTTCTAAGATCTTAAGCCCTACACACCAACATGCACCACCATCGACGCAAAAGATTCTTGAACATTGGCTCGCAATCATGAACCTCAAGTCAAGAGGGCCTCAAGGTCTTAGAGCTTCGGTTATTTTCGGGTTGACGCTCTCACGGTTGAAGGTTCAGGATATCGAGTTTCGGGATTTGGCCTTTCAGGGTCTAAGGTTTAAGGATGCTTAAGGCACACATACAACGTGTAACTTTGCTTCAGGGAGCCTCAAGCTGCGGATGCTGCGGGGACCGTGTTGGCACATGTTCAGTTGGATGTTGAATTACGTACTGCTTGCGGATTGGACCGTTCATATTGACCGTGCTTTGCCTTTCTGCAACTTCCAGATCTAAAAGCTAATGATCTAAAGATCCTTGCACTTCGAGGTCCTCAGCCGTATGTTCACGGAGAAAGTCGGTAGCATGCAGACTCCTTCTGTCAGGACTAATTTCTGGATTTCAATATGATTCAGGATCCCCCATTTGGGATTGCCCCCACTTACGCTCATCCCACCTAGGATAGCTCCAGCATCATCTACGGCGTCGCAAGCACCGGTGGCATAATCTCTGGTGCAGGCCACAGCCTCATCGAAACCCGAAAGGTGTCTAAATCCACAGGCTTGCGGTGTAGGGCTTTAAGTTTAGAGGTCTAGTGTTTGGGGTCCAAGGTTTGAGGCTAGAGAGGGTGATTTACTTTCAAGGTGCCGTGCTGCTCCTTGAAGTTCCTTCTTTAAGAGAAGAGGCCTGAATCTTCGACATTGGACGTCGAGCGGTTTGGGGCTTGCATTTTTTGGTTTGGACCCTGACCTGCTCAGGGCACCGTTCGTAAGTCAATAGTTCGGAGGAAGAAGGAGGTTTTGACAACATTTTAGCTGATGTGACGCTTGTGGCTCGCATTGCCTGTAGGGCTTCCGATGCGACGGTTTGGAGTATGCAGCACACAGGGTGCTGTGAGTGCCGCAGCATGTTCATATGTTTGCGCTTGCCAGCAACGCCTGTAACAAGTTGTTGGTTTTGATTCTTGGATCTTGGTAAGGGGTTTGTAGGTGAGTCGTTTGGCCTCGTATACATTCTGCAGGTGCTGTGGCATGCAGTTTTCATGATTAATTAGGGGTTTGGTTTGCCCAGAGCTCTGCCGAGACTAAGTTGGCTCGACGACAAGCACATGGGTCGGATAGCACCTCGCGTCACTCTAGGCACTTTGAAAGGACGGTCTCTGGCCGTTGCGCAACATCGGCACAAACTCTTCGTGCGAATCTTCGCATAGTTAGAACCCCCCACCCCCCTGCGTACGGTTGCAGCCCCCTCCCCCTCCCCGTTCTTAGGCGGGTGTCATAACCGTATCCAAAGACCTTTAAAGATTTCTGTTCTGGTCTGAGCGTCGAACAGTTTATACACCACAGGAGTTTGCAATTACGGGCGGGATTCGAAATCTGAGGTCAACCTCTTCTAGAAGAGTGCAGCTTCCCTGCGCCCGGAAGCCATCGAAGGTCCAAACCCAAAGGGCATCAAACCCAGATCTACCCACCCTCAAAAGCGGGCTGAGACGTGCTGCCAAAGGCTTGATCATGGCACTCGCCTTTTCTGGCCTGCTGCTTTGGCTGCACCGTGGGTTCAGGGATTGGAGTGTCGGTTTCAGTTAGCCGGGATTTCCTGGCAAGTCAGCTTTCTGGGTTAAATGCTAATTGCAGTCAGTAAGCATTAAAATCTGCATCAAAGCAACGTGAAGCCATTTCCACAATTCGTTCTGTGCTGTTCATGTCTAGGATGAAATGTTTTCGGTGCCGGTCCGGCGAGTGAGTCTAGCTCTTGTTTTGAGCTGAGGTTTAGCATTTTGAGCTTTTTGTGCTGTTCGTCTTTTGCCAACACCCGATGGCCTACACAGAAGGATCCCGTCCCCTTACGCCTCATGTACAGTTTACGCTGTACTAGAGTCCCCATAGCTATATACCGAATGGGCTGCAAAGCCCGCATAGAACACTAACACGCTAGGGTATCTCCTCTATTCTGGGATATGAGTAAACCCACCCCTCAATGGCTGTTCTGTCGGTTAGGAATGAAGCAAGGGATCGAAGCTCAAAGTCTATTGGCCTTGGTTTCGTTTCGGGGCATTTAGGGCTTACGTGTTAGGGATTCGGGTTTTCCGGCTGAAGGTTCACCTACCTCGGAATGCTGGGTGCTGGGGTTCCACGGAATCGACTCGACGACAAAGGCATGCCTAGTCTTGAAACATCGCAGGCGACCTCAAAGAAGGCCGAGTTTGTGGAAGAACTGTTGGATCGCCACGGCTTAAGGTTTAGATTCTTTAGACCTAGAATTTTCAGGTTTACGGCTTAGGGCTGACGGCCTACACTCGACTCCGAAAAGGCGCACCCGATTTCGTAGATGCGAAATCACCCAGACTTACGGTTCACGAACCCTGATTAGTTCTTGAACCTGTACAGGAATCTGTTCGGATTCCGCAAGGTTCTTCTCTTCGAAGCTCTTGCACCAGCAGTTGGCGCTCCTTCTGGTAACTTCGGTGCTGCTGGACACCTTTGTGGTGCGAACTGTTCTGGCAACTTAAACTGATTTGAGAGCGCATTGACATCGCGAGGCTCCGAAGCCCAACATCTGTCTGCTGAAGCACCAAAGTCGTACTGTGCGTTCTGAGCCCCAACACAGACGAGAAAGGCCCAAACTCACACACAATGTGCGGAGTTTAAGGGAGAGGTTGTCAAGCTAGAAGCTCGGTACATAAAAGGAGAGCTACCGTACCCTAGCTTTGCATACCCCAAGTATAGAAAGCATAGGCAGGGGTAAGTTTTGAGTCCATTTGAGGGGCAGATTTTCAGCTAGCAAACAGCAGCAATGTGCCGAAGCCCTAAATCGTGAAATCCTAAACCCACCATTGGGGCCCTAGACCCGAACACCCTAAAACATCTTACTAAAACCGTAGATCCCCGAGGTTGAAATCCCTAGAACCGAAGGTTCCAGCGTTGATGCTCTCGGCGGGAGACTGGAATTGGTGGCCGCGAAAGATGCCCCGGGCGAAGCCATTGCCAGGCGAAACTGGTTGCACCTTGGCTCTGCTGGTCACATGGGAGGTTTTCGGGGTGCACATCTGGGGAGCTGGCATATGAAGAGTTTCCAGCTTCTCTCTACGGGTCACTTTGGGCCGGATGCCTTTACTTTCCACGACCTAGTTTCAAGAGCTCAAACCTTCTCTCTTCCAGTCGAGCTAACTTTGCGAGCTGCCTTTTGGGAAGCTCAATACAAGATTTTTGTCCTTGCAGGACCCTAAACCCTAAACACCTGCCATTTTGGCTCAAGTCTGAAAGCCGATGAGATAGTGACGGAGGGCGGTCCCCGCACAACAAGCTCTCCCTTCTGTCTTTAGCCTGGAGGCCCCTAAGGTGATGGAAGCAAATGGTGAAGATGCTCTGATGAATGCTGAAACGCAGGCCTTGGGTGATCTTGACTCTTCAGATGACAGCCCTCTTGCTGCTGCTGCCACTGCTCCGGCTCCCATGTCGAATTCGGTGGTGAATGCCATGCATGCTGCTGATAACAGGGCCCGAGAGGACGCACTTAGGGATGCAGCCAGTGCCGCGGCGGCCTTGAAAGCAGCTTGTGGGAGCGAAGGGGTCGTGCCAGTACCTGCTGTAAATCCGTATGCACTTGCCGCCCCAGTAGCCTCCTCCCTGCCTCCCCAGAACCCCCCGTCGCCTCTGCAAACCGTGATCAAGGAGGCTGGACAAGCCTTGGGAACCCCCAAATCCAAGCCGAAACGAGACAAGCAAACCGAAAGCCCCGAGAAGAAAGCGAAGCTGGCGAGTGAACGGTCGAGGCGAGGGCTGGATCCGCCGCCACTGTTCGGAGGAGGTAGTGACCCTTCGCGAGTCAGCCCAAAAACCCGGGAAGCCCCTGCAGGACCAGAGATCTACCACCTTGATCCCCAGACGCCTCCCACATGGGTACGTGATCTTCAGAACATGGTTGCGACAGGACATCGAGATCTTTTGTCGGAACTTCAGACCCATAAGGTCCACATCTCTGAGGTAGCTGCCCAGGTGCAGGGTATTGATAGAAAGCAAGAAGCTCTTCACCGAGCCCAGGGGGACATGGCTACCCGGCTGGACAATATGGAAGCTGAAGTCAGGGATTTGAGAGCCAAGTCCAGGTCAGTTAGCCCGGCACCGCACCGAGCTGCTGAACAGAGTCCACGGGGGTCTACGGCTGCCAGCACTGCAGGAGGTAGGCCTGTTATCGATGACCTCCAAATTGTAATTGGTGGCTGGGACGAAGCGAGAAGGGGTGAGGTTGAACAAGAAGTCAGATTGTTGTTTGAGGAGATTGAAGCCTCCCCCCTCTTGCATAACATCACCATACCCTTCGTCAGGACTCGGTTTGCAAGGGCGGAGCTCCTGTTCACGAACAGTAACCTAGCAGAAAGGAGACGTATCCAGAGCCTCACGATCAATGCGTTGAAGCAGAAACTTGACGGGTATGTGAGTAGTGTTCCGGGACAACAGAAGGCTAAACTGTGGGTAACCCGCAATCGTAGCCGCGAGGATCGAGAGAAAATCCGTGCATTAGTAAGTGTCAAGGAGTGGGCTACCAAACACTTGTCGGAAGCCTTTATTGATTTTGACTGGTCGGGCCGCCTTTGGATTCGCTCCGAACAATGCTTGTTCTGGCATCGCTATAAGCAGCCGGATGAGAATTCAATGATGTTGACAAATCAGTCTGGTGATGAAACAGGTTGGTTTGTAGATGTGCGTCAGCTGGGAAGACTACTCTCCATCTCTCCGGAACAGGCCCGCGATGAGCTTCAGAACTGACTAGATAAAGAAGGGGGTTCAACAAACAGGAAGGGCAGGCTTTCTGCAAGCCGAATTCGTGAATTCGTCGCTGTGACATGGAATCTCCATGGAAAGCACCTTGGCTCCGTTAAGAACTTGCTGGATGAAGTTGAGGGTCCTTTTGAGCTTCTTCTTTTCCAGGAAGTTGGAGGCTTTTCGGATGTCCCTGAAGGGGACTGGCGCACTGACGATATTGACATAAGTGGCTTGGCATACAAGGTCTTTGTTTACCAAACACCGTTGTCTCACCGAGCTACGGCTCTTCTCTTTCGCTCAGACTTATATTTGCAGATCACGACGAGGCACTCTTTCAGCACAGGGTTCATCCTTCAGTGCAGGGCGGAGGGTAGGAACTTCTGGCTTGGGACAGCCCACCTACCTCATCAGCAACGACCGGACGCGGAGGACGTCTGGCTCTCGGATCTTGCCAAAATTGACGAAACGCTATCTTCTGCACGCCATCATGATGTAATTTGCATAGGAATTGATGCGAATCAACATGTTTTGAATTCAAACCCTTGTTTCCCTGCGTTGTCTCGACTCCAACTTCTTGCACGCCACCGTGGACTGGAATTCAACCAGCCGCTTGGATGCACCTGGACTGCACGCAACGAATCCAGCACGATTGACTGGTTCATTTTCCGTTGGCCAATGATAGAGACTGCGTTCCATCTTAGAGAAGACTGGAGGAGGGCCTTGCCTTCGGATCATAATGCACTGGTAGCTGTGTTTAGTGGGCGAACTGGTCTGCGCCTCCGACCACCACGACCGCGGCATGGGTGTGGAAGGTGGGGTGTGACAGCAGGACCGCTTGAAGCCGCTGCCTCTGATGATTCTTTCATGTTTTCTCAGGAGGCTTTTGCTAGCCTCTGCCAAAAGCACTCGTATAGACTTCCCTCCAGGAGATATAAGGACCCCCCGGAGATCAAGGAACTCATACGACTCAGGAAGGTCTGTGGCGACCCTGCCCAACGTGAAACGCTGGCTCAGCGAATTGCCCAAGATAGAACCCTTGCACAGAAGCGTCATAAACTTGATTTGCTTGAAGCAGCTAGAGCAGGGGATCGAGGCGCCATTGGTCACCTGAGGAGGAGCTCTGCGCAGAGCTACTCTGATGGCAGTCTTCTGGAACGTTTGGGCGGCCACGACCTAGCCTGTGATCAAGTCAGATCCTTTTATAGGCACAAGTATAGTCGCCCAGCAGCTGAGGGGGAAGTAACGAATGTCCAGCAGGAGGCACTTGTGTCGAAACATGACTGTGCCTCTTTCTGTCCTGTTACCGATGAAGAAATCAGGGAAGCTCTCAGTAAAGTGAAGCTCTCCACGGCCACGGGCTTAGACTCAGTCTGTTATGCAGCCATCAGGACCTTTCACCAACAAGACGCCAAAGGAAAGTTGGCCTCTTTCTTCAATCGCATCTTAGGAGGGGAGCTGCCTGTGCCGAAGGAGTGGCTTATCGGTAAGATATGCCTCATTCCCAAGGTCCAGAGGCCTTGTCGCGTTCAAGACCTCCGCCCCATTAGCCTCACGCCGTGCTTGGGCAAGCTTTTCAGTAAAATCATAATGCAGCGACTCCGCAGTACTCTCCCGCCCTTCCAATCTGGGCAACATGCCAACCGTCCCGGAACACAAGCCTTGGAAGCGGTAGTTGCTGCTCAATCAACGATGAAGCTCTACAAACAGGCCACGGGGAAGAGACTCTTGGTCTGTAAGTTGGACATCAAACAAGCCTTTGACACCATCTCTCATCAGGCCGTGTGGCGATATCTGTATGATGCAGAAGCTAGTAGAGAGAGTCTTGTACTTTGGCAACTTTGTTGCAACACGGAGGTGAGGCTTCAGTTAGGCTCCAGATCTTGGTCCCAGGCACTGGGAAGAGGCCTACTCCAGGGTACCTCATACAGTGCTGACCTCTTCTCCAGGATCATTGACCATTTCCTGGGGGGGCTTCTCCATCGCTGGCAGACAGGGGAACATGAGGTCTTCACCCGATACAGCTTGCCGCATGCACTCCTGTTTGCTGATGATATACTTCTCTTTGGCACGGACACAAGGGACTTGCAGGCCAAGCTTCGGGATTTGCAGCTAACCCTAGAATCAATTGGGCTCCAGCTGAACTTGTCCAAGTGCAACATTCTTGATGACGAGGACGGGACTACGCCTGGTGTCTGGGGTAGGAATGCTGCAACACCGATTACGGGGTCCGAGTCCCTCCTTTACCTGGGTGTTCCTCTGTGCTATGGGGGCAATGCCCTAGGAGGCCTCGGCGTGTCCTTGGCTAAAATGTCCTCAGCCTTTTTCGGGCTGCGAAAACTCTTCGATCATCCGGATACACCAGTATCTGAGAAGCTCGTACTTTTTCAGACCTACATCACCTCGAAATGGGCATGGTGTGCCCCTGCGGTCTACCCTAGTGTGCAGGCGCTACGTAGTCTGGAATCCTTCAAACATACCCTGTTGCTTTCGCTTTTAAAGTTGCAGGTTGATCCGTTGCAGCCGTTCTTAGCAAACGTCCTTGCGCGCCGTCGAGCTGTTAAGGTGACCTGCGAAATTTTTAAATCGAGTAGATGGGGGGAACTCTGGTTGACTAGGTTGTGGAACTTCTGGGGCCATGTTTTTCGTAGTAAGGCTGACCTTCCCATCCACAGGATTATTTCCAGATGTGCCACCTGGAGGATTGTCACTGGAAGGACCCTGCCCGGCCCTCTGACCCACTTCACGCCGAGGAAGCTTCAGCTTGCTTGGGACAAGATGCGGGGGACCTCCCCCTGGCCAGACGTTGAGAGTCTTGCCCAGGAACGCCCGATCTGGACTAAGGCACTGAAGAGCTGGCTCAATAAGTGGGGTTACTCGGGTTCCGACTGCGCTATAGGATGCCTGCCAACTATCTCTGTGACAGGCAGCTGCTCGTAGTCGGGAAAACCTTGGCCATTCTGCGCCCAGCCCGCCTTTTCCCGGAAGAGGCATACAGTAGGGAGGTTCAGCATGTGCTTCGGGGAGTCCCGAAAGCCACCCAATGGACGCTGTGGATACGGATGCTCGACCAAGGCACGGAGGTTAGAGTGCTCCCCCCTAAGCGATCTGGCGGTAAAATACTTGTGATACAAACTCAACGCACCAGTGCGAACCTTCTGCACCAGCGCCTTCAGGTCTGGGAATGCATTCGGCAGGTATGGATCTGGATGCCCTTCCTATGGGAGCAGAGAGCGACCATTTTTCTGCCACCGGGTGCTTTTTCGCCACACATCTGGTGCCAGCAAGTGCCTCTTGATCAGTTGTGGAGGACAAACAGGCTGCACACCTTCGAGGTAAACCAGGATCTTTTGTCCTTCTGCTATCTGCATCCTCAGAAGACTCCGGATTGGCTGTTGCACCAGTTGCAGGGACCCTTTGGCCCCTTCCCCGAGGGACAAACGGTACTGACCCGATATTCAGATTTCAGCCATGCAGTGTACCATGCATGTCTTCCCGCGCGCTACCCATTCCCCCCTGCTGTCGTGGACCTGACGTAGTAGACCCTGTAGCCCTAGTGTCATCTGGAACCCTAGTGTTTTCTCGTGGTGAACTGAGCCGTAGGCATGTTCTCTTTCCCCCTTCCTGCGAGCCACCCCGAAAACCGAGAGCCTGTCATTGTACCCAGTTGATGCCCCAGGGCGTTGCAACATGTCAGCTGTGCGATTGCTGCTAAAGCACCTGCTTGAGCTAGAATACGGGACAAGGGGGGGGGGGGGGGCAGGACGGCCGTGTAATTGCATTTGCTGACACACGTAGCCGTCTAGCGATCTTCTCAAGTGTCAGCCCTCACAGTACCACTAGCCATGGAGATGCAGTGGGTCGTTCAGTTGCTCACGGTGACCCTCACTCTGCTGGTTGTGCTTGTGGTGAGAGACTTTCAAGCATGGCTCACTGCTCCAAGGACCGCTGCGAGCAGCTCCGCGGAGCCCTCCACTGGCGAGGTGGTGACGGCACCAACTGAGGACACCTCGGGCAGCGCGGCCCCCTCTGTTTCTACTCAGGGCGATGGCACCAAGGGTGACTCGACCCCTACGGTGGCAGCAGTCACTCCATCACCTGATGGAGATGGATCCTCGCAGCAAGTGGCAACGGATGGGGATGGCAGCTCGCAGCATGACGGAAAACAGGCCCCTGACTCCGGAAAGGGGATCACGCAGGCACCTCCGTCTCCCAAAAAGGTTGTGCAAGCCACCAAGGGCGATGTCGATGCGCCTGTGGTGACCCCTGAAGCTATGATGCAGGAGCTTCAGGCTTGCCATACGACGGTCAAGAACTTTGCTGCCAACATGTCGCGGCTCCTGAATGGGATCACGAGTGTGGCTCCCACTCTTGCCAAGGTGCAGACGGAGCTCGAGAGCAACCAGAAGGCGACCCATGCCCTTGAGGTTGCGATGGAGAAAGCCTTGGGTGGTGCGGACCTCAAGGACCTCCCCAAGGAGATCAAGGAGATGAACAAGCGGGCCAGTGCACTGGAAAGCATCGTTGGTGCAGTGACTGCAAAGATGGGGACCATGTCACAGAATGTGGATAGCTTTGGGAAGAGCAACGAATCCCAGCTGAAGGACGCCCTCAAGAGTGTGGCGGCAGTGGCTAGCTCGAGTAAACAACAGAACCTCGACCTGACCGCCCACGTGACCACCAAGGCGTCGATGCTGGAGTCGGGAGTGAAGGAAGTGCTTCGCAAGATCACGGCTACGGACTATGATAGTCATACGAGCATGACGGCCACCGTGAAGGATGTCTCCAACCAGGTCTATGACCTAGGCCAAGAACTTCTGGCTGCCCACAGCTTCTTGCAAGGCGAGGTGGCAACGCAGAAGGAGAACGTCTTCCAGCTGGCCACAGTCCTTGCCAGTATTTCAGAACAAGTTCGGGTCATTCGTGACTACTGTGAACGGCCGGTTCCTGTGGCGGTAAGTGGCCAACATGATCGGCCCCCTATGCCGCCCCCATCGTACGAGCCG